TACTATTACTATTACTATTACTATTACTATTACTATTACTATTACTATTACTATTACTATTACTATTACTATTACTATTACTATTACTATTACTACTTTAGTATTAGCTAGCTTTGTCTATTCTCTATATTAATTATATAGTTCTATAGTAAGGTTATTCATTAAAAGTTATAGCAAAAATATACTTATTATTCAAGTTAAAGAATATAATATAGTAGACTAAAGTAAAGTAGATTAGAATAGAACTAAATACCTATACTCTTTATAGATTGTAAATAGTAGTAAGAGTGTTAAATAATAGTATTAGAATATTTATTTACTATCTATAAGTAATATTATACTTAATATACTAGTACTAATATATATACAAGATCCTAACTAGTTTTTAGGTAAAGTTTAGTTTAGTTAATAGCTCTAGACTAAATTACTAACTATAGTTAAGTAATTAATATTTTTTAATTAACTTATAATTATAAACCTCTAACAAAAGTAGCTTTTATAAAAGTGTCGCAATACTACAGTGCTCCCGTAATTATGCCAAGAGCTCCTAGAGCTTAGAGTAACTGTTTATCTAATCTCTACGTAGTATATATAGATGCTCTACGATTAATTCTTTATAGAGTAGTAATCTAAATAATAGATTACCTAAACCTACTATTTCCAGCTCTATTTTCCTCTACAAAAAGTATAAGTAATTCTAGCGTTAGAGAACGTAGATTAATATATAAGTTCATTATTATAGATCTTTTTACGCGTTTTTATTATTTATTAGTTTTAATTGTCTATACTTTTAATAGCAGCTAAAATTTTACTAAGTTATAAACTTTCTATATTATTAGCCTTCTGCATCCTATTAATATTACTATTTTTATTACTCCTTCTATTACTTTAGAATTAGCTAGCTTTATCCTTATTTAATATAAATTTTATAGTCTTATATCTAGAGGGCAGAGATTAACGTATAATCTTCTTATTATATATTTATATACAGGTTTTTATTATTTATTTGTCTTTTTTATTTATACTATCTATAGTAGCTAAATTCTAACCTAGTTATAAGTTATTAGCTCTTTACTTCCTATTACTTTAACTATTACTATTACTCTTACTATTACTTTAAAAATAGTTTGCTTTATACTTATTTTATATTAAATATACAGCCTAATAGTAAGGTATTATACCTCCTAGATTACTACTATAATTCCTTTTTCTTAAGTAGTATACTTAAGATTTATAAAAGCTTATATAAAGTAGCTCTTATCTTTAATTAAAATAGTATTATTATACTAATTAATAGTAAGCATATTAAGTAAAATAAGCTAAGTATTAAAAGAAATTCTATTAGTTTTATAAACTTATAAAAAAAAAGCTAAACTCTTACTTTATATAGCTATACTTTAAGTCTTTTGTTAACTTTAAAGTACTTTAAGATATTTTTACTTTTTTAAGTAAAAGGTATTACTATTATACTATATAATAGCTTTTATTTTCTTTTACTCCTAAAGTAGGTTTTTAAAGATCTTACTAAAGTTATTTATAGAATTATACTAGTACTAGTAATTACTTTTTTTTATATTTAAATTATAAGTTTACTCTAAAATATATTATATTAACTTTTAGGCTATACTAATTAAATTATATTACTAGTTAGGTATAATATTAGTAGTAAAGAAAAAGAAGATAGATTAGATAAATAAATAAATAAATAGTTTATATTCTATAGTATAATTAATTTTTATATACTAGCTTGTCTATATAAACTATTATTGCTTAGTTATATTTCTAAGATTACTAAAAAATTAAATTTTTTCTCTTACTTTACTATAGTTAATAACTTA